CTATTTTTCATCCTGCAAAGTTGAATAGTTTTCAATAGGAAATTCAGTTCAGTCGCAAAATTGTGAGAAATGGTTGCGAAAAATGGAGTTTTCATACAATAGCGAGCGCGAATTGTAACTATCAAACTTGCAAATTTCACAATTCGGCAATACTGTTACTTAAAGATTTCTATCGTTTCCTATAATCTTGCTTTGCAATAGCAATAATGCAACAGAAATAATGATGAATCAAAAGTGGAAGTTTGATATATCAATTATCTTAATATACTTAATGAAACTGGTATGAATATCGATCGTTTAACTTATCGTTACCGCCTGTCGTCGAGAATGAGAAAATTATTGACGCGCGGTAATAAACATGCTGCTTTCGCACGCTGACGATTTTACTTGAACTTTTTGCTCGCGAAAAGCCAAGACACGATCTTGTTCAAGCTTGCTCAATAATTACTAACGGCACATTTCTTTCTTTCTTCTTCTTCCTTTTCTTTTTTTCTTTATATCAAGAACGCGTCTAACGAGACGAGTAATTTAATTCCCATATGTAACGCAGGTCATACAATATATATATATATATATATATATATATATATACGATAAAACATATAAGTGAATCGTGATGAATGAAATGAGATCGCATTCACGAGTGCGAACGTAAAAAGTTAGTTAGTCGTTACTTTCATGCCAATTACCGCAATTGCTGAAACGCCCGGCTCCTTAACACGAAATCAAGCCGGTGCCTTATGACTGGCAGTGCCGCAATTGTTGCCATTGTCGCGTTGTATTGGACGAGCGTGAATACGACAAGCGCCGAGACGCCATTGTTCTATTCTCTATGACAGAAATTACCGGCGAAATGTACGTGAGTGTGGGAACCGCAAAAAGAACTACGAACAATTACGATTATAATTGCGCGCGCGTTCTGCCTGCACTTTCAATAAGTACGCTATGTAATGTATAACGTGATAATATCGGGAATGAATCATGCACACACACACACACACACATACACACACACACACACACACACACACACACACACATGTACATATTCCTTTATGTTTAATTTGCATACTTAGTTTTCTATATTTGGTTAAGGACGTTCTCCGAAAAAATCCATTTTCTTTAGATTTTTCTGAAACTTAGAACAAGCTTGTTTTAGTGTCCTGAACATTCTTTAA